GTCGGAGGCACCGGGGCTCCCGAGTCGTCGGGCCAAATCAGAGGGTGGAGTCGCGTCTTGCACTGGTAGGCCGAAGGAAACGAACCAAGCCAGACAAAAGGGTACCGGCGAAACCGACAAACAGGCATGGTTTCTCCAAGACCACCGTAAGTCGGAGGCTTACCCTCGCCAGCTGCAAAGATTAGCATTGCTCGACTGTCTCCAGAAGCACAAGCTCCCCTTTTATCAACGATGCCTTGTCAAGCCGACTAAACAAATCGGATGTACACCATCACTTGTCCGAAGGTACAGAAAAAAATTTCGAGTTATCACTCCCCTTGGACGAGCACAATTAAAGAGTCTCGATGACTATCTTGAATATGGTAGGAACTCTAGGGCCGGGAGTAGTTTGTCGGCTTCAGCGGAACTCTCACGATCGCACTACAGATTCTATCAGTAGTATTAGTAGTAGTAGTAGTAAAAGTCGAATTAATAGTATCTATTAGCAGTATCAATAGTAGTCTCTTCAACTCCATGTGGCGTATTCTGACTTATACGCACACACAAATACAGATACACACTCAAGTATTGTTATCCGTCCATCCATCTTTATATATTTTCGTTTTTTATACCTGAGTAAATATAGCATTTAGGCTGGGGCATGATGCTAACTTGAAGCTTTTGAAAATTCACTTCCTCCAGGTCTGATAAAGTCTGTCAGCTTTAGGGTCGTAATAAAGCCAAATAGCTACAGAACAACGGGATCTACCCAAGAATCTATTTATTTTGTAAATCAATCAATGCTGGATCCCAGCTTTCCCATCATTAATGCATACATTTTGGTGTAGTCATGATCGACATGACGATTGAAATGTATTTTTAGGCAAATCTGTACATTCTTCAACTAACTGATAAATGAGGTTTTCGTGTGCCCTACTTCCCGACGTGTCTTTTTGTCGGTCTTTCAGCTTCCTTAACAGACGATCTGTTGGAGGTTCGATTGAGGTAAAGCTTGATACTCTTGCTTGGGTTGATCAGCTCGTGGCCACGATCTCGTCAATAAGACGTTCGGAATCTACAGGATAGCAACAAATCAAGATTAAAAGTGTAAAACCATGAACTTTAAAGAAATGCATACAATTACATTTATATATAGTGCATCAACGATGATGATTGCATTCTTTTTTAATGTATCTAGGCCTAATATATTGCATATGGATGAGTAGATTAATTTCTATAGTAACAACAACATTATATGATGCACGAAAGATGTATTTACCTTATTTCTTTAAGGTGATAAAGGACGGGCATTTCAATTTTACCACAATCTTAGGTGTCCACTGAAGTTCACATCACTTTAACGAATTGGGATGAATACATTACATATTATAATCTGTTGGTAGTCTTAAAAAATGATATGCCAAATACACTAAAAAGACAAATTTAAATTGGGGGCCTAAGATTATGTTTAATTTCGCACAACTCACTTTTAGAAAACAAATGATATTTTCTAAATTGTTGCCTACTTTATCGCTGAAAACGAGGCCCAGTTACACCAAGCCATTCTGCAATACCTCCTTGTCTCCCTGAACCGTATCCAAAATCAGTTTGTCTTCGACTGGACAGGCTCATCAACTGCCGTCGAGAACTGCAACAGACCTCTATTAATGAGAATATGATTGACCAACTTCACGTGCCAGCGGGCAATTTGGACGCTGTCCTGGAGGCCTATGATCAACTGACGAGGCTGCTCCTACTCAGCCGGCCGCTTGACCACTCTGCCATGGTGACTGGGGCTTCGACGACGATGACGAGAGTCAGGCGAGAAGAGAGCAGAGAATTGGAGGATCGACAATTGCTCGACAGTCTAGGCAAGTGACAAATTGAGCCGAGGGGAAATTGGTGCTCATGGTGAAAGTCTATTTACTGACGAGGCAACGACTGGAGGGGTACATCAACGGATCCATCAAAAGCTGCTCAAGAACGCGGCTTACAGAGACATTAAGCTTCCATTTTTGAGGAGCCACTTAGTGAGGGAAGTAGGGGCGTTCAGAGAGAATTTACCAAAAATCTGCTGCTAAATGGAATCTTAGTTTAGCTGAACTATTTGTCGGACAAACTCTAATCAGAATGATTTTTTAAAATAGCCACGAAAATTTCATTCATAATTAGACTGATAAGAGATGAAAAGTATAAAAAGTATAGGCTTGCCTGACCAAGTGATATTTAATGTTAAGTAAGAAAAACTACTTTCTCGAGACTAGTATAGTTTAGGTAGACAACAATGTGTCTATCTTGATTCTTTACTGGGTTGAATGTGGACGCTGTTGAAGTTTAGTTGTGCAAGCAAAATTCGGCCTATTCACCAGCGTGCTTAAGGCAAAACTAAGCTAAGGGTAAAATAACCAATTGAGGGAATAACTGAATTTCCTCTGATTTCCGGCATAATTCTATTAACCTGTTATTCTCAACTTTTGTGACTCAAAAAAGTGTATAGGCTTCATTTTTGTATAATTATTAATCACAATTTACTATTTGGTAGATTTGCCAATTTTTTGGAATTATGCTTCGCATAAAACTCAAAATAACAGGAAATGTACCTTTCCGAATTAAGAGTCAAATTATTCGCGCCTTTTGATTCGAACAAACCAGTAGAACAAGTTCTGATTACCAGTTCTAACAGGCCTTCGCGAAAAGCCGTCGAGAAGAGCTGTAGTGAAGCTAGTAAGACTGAATAAGAATGTGTGAAAATGTGAAAAATTGAGGGAAGGTACGGCAGGTTCGCTGGGATTTGAAAAACCTGCATAACTTGGGTAGTATCCAAATCAGCAACTAAGACCTTGGGCTTAACCAAGCACGTGAATAGAGTTTGCAAGATCAGCAAATCTGGTTAAACAAAGATTTTCATCCCAATATCCTTGGCGTAAGTTTGCCTAAATACCCAATAAAAGGATATACCTGAGTCTGCTGAAGGCCGCTTGAACAGTTTGAGATCGTAAACTGATAAGAAATTCGGCATGACTTTCCCTTTCATGGGCAAATCACGAAGACGTCCACACCATAGAAAACAGTAATATGAAATGATCTTGAAAGAAATAAGCCCAGTGATAGAGAAACGATTAAAATTGAGAAGAAAAAGTGGGTTTCAAAGAAATCCCATACGAGCTAGTGTGACTCGACTTTACATTTCGAAGGAAAATTTAGGTAGTAGGTATTCGTGAATCTGTTTCGATGGAAACCGAAGGAGGATTGCCGCGACACGAATAAGACTGTTGGATTGTGCGAAGAAGTCCTCGGCTCATCGTCTTGTGCAGAGCTTTGATCTGTCATGTGACAGACGTCATCAGAGCAAAATATCACACTTCACGCAACAACGCCACAATATGTTAAACTGAAACGAAAAGGTAGTCGGCTGTGCTATTTTGTAGGGGAGGATAACTTGCTCTGATGATGTCGTTCGTATGATAGGCGAACGCTTAGCTTTGGCTCATCGGAGTCGTAGGACGGTGGGCCAGGGACTTTTCGGTACACTCCAACAGTCTTCTTCACTCCACAGCAATCCTTCCTCTGCGTTCGGTGCAACCAATCCACGAATTCCTTCCTTCAAGATGGAAAGTCTTGTCACGAAAACGATAGACAAGTGCATAGCCGTGCCCATTTATTTTTTTAATTCTAGATTTTGGCTATGATTTGTTCATTACACTGGAGGGGGGAGCCGAATTTCCTGAAATTCAAATAAGATGCTTCTC